CATTCCTGGAACTTTATTAAGGCGAGTCAGACGCTCTCTGAGTGTTTGAGAGAACGGCCTCAGACATTTCAGGGACATTTTCAGGAGCTTTGTTCATGTGTGAAAACTCCACAGTAGAAGTATTTAAACTGATATAGAATTTTAAAGATGGTGATTTTTGAGGGGGGGAAAATATCCATCAAACAAATATAGCTGCCGATGGTTCTGGGATGAAAATAGAAAGCTTTACTTCCTGGATTGTGCACCAATGTTTGCACCGATATGACCAGGCAAAGGCACTCCAGCTTTGTTTTTTTAGCCTGCAGCTTAATTTAATCCAATAATACATATTTGAAGTAGTATTATAAACTGTAAACAAACTCTAGTAGTTATAGTTGATGTGTGTATACTGTATATATAATGCGTTCAGTGCTGAGAGGGTTGTACATTAGAGAGTTGAAGCGCACTCTGTTCAACAAACCACGGTACAATAACTTCACCCAAAGAATTGCTTTCTGCGTCTTAAGAAATATGTATTTGTTAAACCTGCACTGATCCCGTCTTTATACTTAATGATCGTGTTCTGTCACTACAACACCTGCTTACCTCGGGTCAAAGCGTGGGGTGACGAGGGGTGTAGGTCCCATCATCAAAGAGGAATCCAGCACACTCCTGGCAGGAGTCACCATCGGCTTCCTGTTAGATCTAATCCACACAGAGACATGTTAGCAAGTCATGTAGGTAGAATAAAAGGAGAGAGAGAAAGTAAGAAGAAGTTCTGTTCTTACCGCCTGATGGAGCTGTTCTGCTTGCTGACAGACAGCGCTTTCGCTCTTTTTGAGGTAGTCGGAGGTTTCTTTGCTGGTCTTCCCTGTTTTAGGAACAAATAGTTAAACAGGAATGATTCACCAAATCAGCGTCTACTCTGAATATTTATGATCATGTGTGTGTTTTGTTTCTCGTGCACATGCTTGAACACAGATGATCCCTTACCCTCTTGGTGGTGCTCGGGGTGTTTTCATCCTCTGAACTGGACGCACCTTTCTTCTTTGTCTCTGTGGATCAGACAGGAAGTAAACGCGATCAAACACACTCCGAGATTTAACTACTTTTTCCTAACCGTAATGTATTTCTTGATTTTTTTGTATTTGGACATGTGCAGCACCTCCTGAACCACTGTATTATTTTCAATAGACTTAAGTAAGTTAAGAATACTTGAAAAAACGACTTTGTACATACTTTGTTTGGCAGACTTCAGAAGAGCTGCGTGGTCCTCAGCTACAACACTCTCAACTATAGCAGCTTCCTCATCTCTCTGTTAATACAAACAACAGAAAGAATTAGATTAAAATGAATGTTAATGAACAGAAAAATGTTTGTCTAGAAAAGCCAAAACATTCTGAAACATTTTGAAATCCTGTAGATCACCTTTGTATTATCAACTTCTGGTGACTTGGGTTTCTCAGGCTCTACAGAGAGACGTGTAAAAATGGAATGGATGTCAGGAATGTAGAAATATTCAGCTCAAAAGAAATATATTGTAATATTTGTCAAAACAATATTTCTGGATTATGAGAGGAGTTGTGTTAACTTACTGAAATGTTCCAGCCACGATGTTTGTCTGATGGCCTTCGGGAGTTTAATCAGCGCCATGTTGTAGCTGTTGTCCACATCTTTCAAAAGCTGGTTGATCTTCTCTTTCATTCGTATGACTCTGGTATTCACTGTGAAGACACAACACGTGTTGTTGATGACACAGTATTAAAGACTATTACACTACAGATCGGTTTATAAAGCTGTTATAGACACTTCCACTCTAACAGTTTACATGATGATGACATGATGGTGCATCGAAGCCTGCACGATATGAGTCAAACATGTGAGGTGCTATAAGGTTATGTATTGCAATACATAAACAAAAATAAAGAGTTCATAAAAGTTATAACTCAGTTTCTGTCTGCTGTTCTTCAAGTTTTTTAGAGCTCAAAATGTTTTCTTTTAGATCCACTAAATTTGCACTAATTCATTCGACAGTAGTTGATAATTATCAAGATAATCTTTAGCGTGCATGTCAGTGGTGGGAAAGCATTACAATTACATACAAGCATCTGTACAAAAAGTAACATGCTGAGCGGGAAAGCATTGCTTGACTACATTAAAAGTTGTTTTTATTATCTATTAGAAATTCAGACTTTTGTGATGTGTTTATTCATGTTTGTCACTCCACAAACTTGCTCCATCATCTTGGTCTGAGATGCAGAGTCACCTCAAACTACAGCATTTAGTTAGTTTGGAAGATTTTAAAACCAGGATGAAGGATCATTTGCCCACTTGTATGCACACGCTTCTCTTCTTAATGCTTCTGATTTGTTGATAGATGTAATATGTGTTGTGTCTGAAATTTGCATGCTGCCGTCTTGGCCAGGACTCTCTTAAAATGTGATCTTGTATCTCAACAAGAATATTTTCCTGGTAAAATTAATTTGAAAAAATCATGTATTAAAACTGCTCACACTGCGATATCGATAAAAGTAATCACACAGCCCTAGTGCAAACATTACAACAGATTTAAAGAATACCAGCAGGATTATTGAAGCACATGTTGCCTTGAACACATTACCACCTGAAACAAAAATTAATCTCGGATTTAAAATCTTTTACAAAACAGATGAAATGCTCAAAGCAAACCAGAGCTGCTCCCACTTTTAAATTGTATCTTCAAACTTTATTTTAAAGTGGTTTGTAACATTTGCATTGTTGTACATGTATTTTAATGTGTCCTCATATCGTGTTCTGGGGTTTTATGTAACTGAATGTTGAACATTTTAATCTGTTTGTTTACACAAAGGCCCAACTGGAGGACATGAGTTATACAGCTATATACTCTGTATGCAGCACATCAGTTTCATGCTTTGTATTGAAATTATGTTAAATTGCATTGTCCCTATTAAAATAAATCAATTCAATTCAATTTATATGCAGAAAATATTACCAGGAAGTAAAGAAGATTGTAATACCGTTACTTAAAATGTATGACACATAATAAGACTAGAAAGGCCTTCTGTTATGTTTTATATCATGGTACATATCATGGTCACAATGCTTTAATAACCAACTTCAGAGGCTTGATATTCAGATAAAAACATAATTGTTGGACATATGACTGTAAAACACTTAATAATTCAAAATAAGTTGTATATATATTTGTGTAACAGTTTAAATAACACTGATAAAATGATAAATCACCTCCACAGGCCTCCATGAAAGGAAAGCCAGAAACGTACTGCCTGTGATCCGTGGTCAATGTAATATCTTTCTAAAGCAAAACTAAGAACATGTTGTCTCATAGAGGATTGCTACAGCGTCGAAGCCTATGCTAAGTTTAATTTCCCTAAAAGACAAAGATCCCTCTGCGCTCAGCTACGTTCAGGAACATCGCCTTTAGCCGTAGACACCGGCAGGTTTAATTCCACTTCAGAGGAAGACCGAGTCTGTTTGTTGTGTGAGTTAAGAGAAACTGAAAACGAGATTCACTTTTTGTTTTACTGCCCGATGTACGCTGACATCAGGGATGTTCTTTTTAAAAGAATGTCTTCAAATTATCTTGATTTCTTTTGGCTTCATGATTATGAAAAACTTTTCAAGATTCAAGATTTTTTATTTTGTCACATGCTCATACAGATGTGCAGTGAAATGTTAAGACTGTTCCGCAAGGCCGTGCAATAAACACTCAAATTACTAACACACATAAATACAGTAAAATAGAACATAATGTAAAAAATAAAAAAAATATTATTATTTGAATGTACACAATATAAAATATAGAATAATGTAAACAGTATAAAGTGTCCAGTAAAATAGAATATAATGTAAAAAATAAAATAAAAATGTATTTGAATGTACAAAATATAGAATATAGAATAATGTTAACAGTGTAATGTGTCCAGTAAAATAGAATATAATGTAAAATTTTAAAAAATAATTATTTGAATGTACAAAATATAGAATATAGAATAATGTTAACAGTGTAATGTGTCCAGTAAAATAGAATATAATGTAAAATTTTAAAAAATAATTATTTGAATGTACAAAATATAAAATATAGGATAATATAAACAGTGGAAAGTGTCCAGGGTGTCCAGTAAAATAGAATATAATGTAAAAACTTAGACAGAAAGACAGAACACATTGTTTAAGACTGAACTGTGACAGGAGCTGGTAACTTTGTAATGTTATGATTTTTAAATTAAATTTTGAATTCTTTGGTGTTTTATAATCCCGTGAGGGTTTGGGCACTTTGTGTACATGACACTAAAATAAATGAATCAATCAATCAATCAAAGATGAATTTATTTAAATAATCTCAGTGTCGTGTTTACAGGAAACCCAAATATAAACTATATTCACCCTCGCTGTCGAAGTCCTCCAGGAAAGCTTCCAGCTTGGCCGTCTTCGGGTTGTTCTTCCGCTGTCTGGTGGTTCTTTTCCTGGGAGCCATGGCTTCTTACAGAGGAGGAAAAAAGTCAGTTTACCAACGTTTGATAAGACGAGACAGACCTAGTGTCAAGTCACATAATTCACCTTTAGTGTAGAAGGTGCAAAATCACTTAAAAGGAGGAAACTGCCGCCACGCAAGAAGCTGTAAATCGATTTTCTGAGGCTAGCAGGCTAAGCTAACATCACTAGCTCGCTGTTTCGCAAAATGTCACGTTTCCCTCAATAACTCCATTAAAAGTCGATTTTATCACCTCGCAGAAACGTTTTGTTATCAAACTCAAAAGGAATAACTTGCACTGTGGTTATACTGGTTGTATAAACGAGTATTTACCTGATTATGTTTCCTCCTCGGTCACTCAACTTTCTCGTCCGCGACAAAAGCCGTTTTTCAAATCTCCGCGCGGGGCGGGGCCAATCCCGAAGACAGCCAATCGCAGGGCGCGTTTCTGATGCGTCACGGGAAATGACATGACTGCCAATCGTAGCGACAGACGTCAGTGTTTACATCAAGATACCGGAAGTAAGTCAAAGCATCATGGTAGAAAATGTGATGAATTCATCAGCTGAAGTTTCCGTGCTTCTTCTGGCGTTTGTGAAACAATTACAAGCACAACTGCTTGTAATTTTAAATCATTTCAGAGCCTGAAATGTCCAAACCTGCACTACTTTCTCTTCATCAAGCTCTGAGGAAAAGCTTCCACAGTCTTGAAAGCAACCAGAGGGAATGGAGGAGCGTGTTGGCCGAGTGCAGCCCTCTCATGGAGTCTCTCGGGAACTTGGCAGAGCAGTGGAGGGCTCTCTCCAACGTGCAGATCTCCAACACGCCGCTCAGAGACTTCCCCGACCTGCAGGAGAGGCTGACATTCAAACTTCTGCAAGCCACGGATACTGTCCTCCTCAAAGTCAACGAGAAGATGTGAGTAACTGGGTTCATAGTGCAACAAAATGAAGATTGGAGATGCGATGTAATGCACACTCAAAACTACAAAAAACACAGCATTATATTATTATATTAGTCTATATGATATAACATTATATTACACTATATCGTTCATATTGCACTATATTATATTATATTATACTACATTATATTATATAACTGCACTCTGCATCACTGTGGTACAACTCTGCCTCTCTTCTGACTTGCTGCTGTTTATCACACCGAGTCACTTTAAGCATCACTTGTCACTTTATCTTATCATTCTCTGCACTGTCTCAACTCCCTGCATAGTTAACTCCATCATTCATTTTGTACTTGTTTTTACAAAAGCTGTTTTTATTTGTATTTATCTTATCGATTCTGTTTAATGTGTATTTTGTATTTTGAGCTTTCTTGTCTTTGTGCTGCTGCAACGCCCGAATTTCCCCTCTGAGGATCAGTAAAGTTTTATCTTATCCTGTTTGATCTAGCTGATGTGATTGGTTCATAATCACTCATTTTATCAGCAGCAGACATGCAGCGTTGCTCAACCTGAGGGACCAGTAAAGGTAATAAAAATATTAGCCCTGGACCCAGGTGAAAAGTGACATTGTGATCAAAATGTGGCTGGTGGTATTCCAGTATGTGTTATTGATCCATGCCAATATGAAGGAATAACACTTTCTATTATTCTTTTTATTTATTTTTCTCACTTTAGATAGATAGAATCTTTATTATCGTTGTATACAAGGACACAACAAAACTTCGTTAGCGGCTCCTAAACAGCAGCGTTTACAAAAACAACAAAAATATATTTGTGGTGATATGAAAGAGAAATATGCAAAAAGTGGCCAGAGCAGTTGTTGTTGTTCAGTGAATGAATGATAATAATAATAAATAAATAAACAGTTGTGGTGACTGAGAGAATATATACAGTTCTTGTTTTGCAGTGACTGATTAATTAAACAAATATAAATATAGAGATATAGTGCAAATAAGTGAAGTTATAGTAAATACAGTTATTGTTGTGCAGTGACTGAATGAGTGAATTAAATTAAGTTATTGCACAAGGTCCTTTAAGGCCCTCACAGACAATATAACACTTCAGTTTTTATACTTTCTGCCAGAATATATAGATATTTTCTAACATGTGCAACCACTAATCATGTCATGCTGATGTCATTTGCAGCTTATGAAACATGAATTAAATATGTGTCATCTCTTATCTCTATTCACTGCCATGCTCTCAAAAAGCTCTCCACTGGCGTTATGATCATTTTGTTATATATCACAATCTATGTTTGGAAATTGTAATCCTTCTAATGTTCATCAGAAAACAAAATTAGTGTCAAATTGGAATTTCAATCTGTCAGAAAAAAGTGTAATAAGAGTTCAACTACAGCGGCATGTAAAAAATAACTCGGTCCTTGCTTTCTAAATCACAATACCTTATGGACCTTTACAAGAGTGCAGTCAAATACTGAGCATGTAGATAGTGATCTACTGCCTAGTTCCATACTCACTTCCAATATGTTTATTTATCTGGATGCCCTGAGTCCCAGTATTTGAGTTTGGACATGGTGGACCTACAATATCTATCTAAACTATTCATCCATCCTTCTCTTGTCCCCTCAGGTCTTCACTCCAGTCAGTCAGAGACTCCGTCAGTAACCAGGTCTCTGCAGTCCTCCAGCTTTACGAGCAGAACTCAGACAGTCTGGACCTGCTCACGGTTACTGAACGCTCTGCCACCGCCCCGTCGGTCTCTGACATGCTGGGGTGGCTGCAGGATGCCGAGCGTCACTATCGCCCAGCAGTATCCTCTCTGTTTGCACTTGGGCTGTTTGCATTGTGGTTTGGATCTTTTTGTTGTTGTTGTTTTTGTTTCCTCAACTCCAGTTTTCAGATTTCTGAGGAGGAAGACTCTGCTGCTGACACTCAGAGCAGAAGATCTCTCCCTGTTGGAAGACGCTCCCAAAAGATGGAAATCCATGGAGTCGTCCAGTGCTGAAGACAGAATCACAGGTAAAAAGTCTGATATGATGTTTTAATCGTGAGTTAATGTTACTCAAATAATGACTATTTATGTGATACAAGGCGGACTCTTTGAACTTGGAGGAAATCATCTTTTTTTTTTTTGTGGCAGAGGAATGCTTTTAGGGTTCAGCTTTTATCATATTTTGCACAGGCAGCTGGCCGCTCTTCAGATACAACCTTTTAGAATAATCATTTTAACCACAGCCTAATTTAATTCAAATTAGGAATTTCATACCGTAAAATAATGACTTTAATCTTGTAAATGTACGACTTTAATCTAAAAATGTTAGGAAAAAAAAATCATTAACGTGGGCCTCATACTCCTCTGTAATAAATGGACCCAGCTCCTGCACTTTTAAGATTTTAATAAATATCAGGAAACCACCAGACACAACGTTGCGTGATGCCAATAAATTCATAAAACAGATGTTGGAGTGCAAGCTTACTAAAGAACAGCGCTCCACCAGATCTACAATGGTCTGGTTTACTACGTATATGGTGCTGAGGATCTATAGGTGGACTCATGTTTTCTCTCTTCTTTCAGATACGCTCTGCAAAGTGTCCTTTTTTGTCGAGTCCCAATGAAGTGGTGATGTAAGTGGAACTCTGAGCAGCTTTCATTGAAGAAGAAAGAGCGATAACCTCAAAGGAACGATGAAGAAACATGAACACAAAGCTCAGAGGGACAGATTTCTGTATGGATGTGAGGAGGAGGACTAGAGTCCCACTTTGTCATCAACATTTTGAGGGGTCAAAGTGTGGCAGAAGAAGAAGTCAGCATCATTTTGGTGCTCAAAGATGACACAGTGAAAATGAATGTGTTGGCACAAACCAACATGTATGATAGAGGACAGCCTCCACACACAACGACAGACTGGATCAAAAAAACAGTTATTGAGGCACACTTTAACAAACCTGTTTTATTTCACACGTTGAACGCAGACACTCAGTGAAGACTTTATGTGTCAAATCAGGAGGTAAAAATAACTGCTACAGAAATCACTGCAACCATGACAACACAAGCCATCATAACTGCCACTGTGTACTTTTTTAAAGTACATTTATGCATCAGGCTTTCTTCAGGCTCTGCTGTAAATCACAGTAAAATCATTAGAAAGAATGCATGTTAAAGACATTTGGGCATTGACTTCACTTTTGAAACCCAGAATCTATGTCCACTTCTTTATACAATCTATGAATAAAAAGTCAAGTTTCAACAAACAAAATGTTTTTAAAATACTGCAGACAAGTTTAAAAAGACAAATAAATACAAAATGAGCAAAATATAAGTTAACGTAATTTCATAAATATATATATATTATATTTATTGGTTAAAATTCACAGACTTGAGACAGGTTATTTTTTAACAAAGAACCAGAGTTACAAAGTTGATCCGCTCCTCCTCCTATACGTACTCCTTTAAGGGTAGACTGTTGGATGTGATGGTTTAGGCGGATCCGGCGCTGAAGGCGGGGAATTAGCAAAGCTCCGGCCTATGTAGCCCCTCCGATACCTGCCCCTCGCTCCATGAGGGGGCAGGTGCTGCTCAGCACAGCCCCGCTGATCATGAGGATAACAGCGGACGCCCAGCCCAGATAAATGGCCTGACCCAGCTCCCGTTTGTGCATGAGGGGCACGTTGGGGTTGTAGAAATCCTTGACGACAGTGTTGGCGGTCCAGGAAACGGGAATGAGCACGCACAGGCCGGTCAGGATGAAGAGAACGCCGCCGGAGAGCGCGATGCCGGCCTTGGCTCGGCGGTCGTCCCCGGCGCAGGTGGTGCACTTCATGCCGCAGCAGGACACGGTGCAGGAGAGCCAACCCATGAAGATGGCGAGGCACATGAGGGCGCGGGCGGCCTGGATGTCCGGAGGCAGGGCCAGCATGGAGTCATACGTCTTGCACTGCATGTGACCCGTGGTCTGGTAGATGCAGTTCATCCAGATGCCCTCCCACTTGATCTCCGAGGTGAGGATGTTGCTGCGATGAAGGCGAGACCTTCCACTGAGGCAGAGCGGTGACGGCGATCGCCATGATCCAGCCGGTCACCGCGCAGGTGAAGCTGATCAGCTGCATGCCCGTGTTCACCATGATGTTTTCAGTGGTTCCTCTTTTTTGAAATATTCTTTGTGGTTATCCACTTCAAGTCCAAGTTCAAGTTTTTTGGTTCACTCTTGAAACCAAGAGGCGAAGTTCACTTCTTTTACACAGTCAATAAAAAAAAAAGAGTCAAGTTTCAGCTCCACTCTTTCTTTTCCTTCCAGTCAACTTTCTTCTCCTCAAACTTTTTCCTCCTCAGCAGCTGTTTCTTACTCTTTTCCTTTTCAACATCTGCTTCCTCGTGTCCTCCTCAATTCCCTCCTCGTTATCCGGCTCGCTTTTTCTTTGTACACTCACCAAAGGATTACCTCTTCGCGCACTTTCTCCTCCCTTTCATTCCTGAGTTCGACTCGATGCATTATTGAGCAGCCGATAGCTGTGCAGCCACCTGTGGCAGAGCCCGCAGGAACCCTGATCGATCCGGCTTCACCGTCCGGGCCCCTTTGTGGATGAAATGGATCTCAGCCAGGCTTCTGTTATTTTATTTTATTTGTGTGTGAAAGAGGATTCCTTTTCTTCAGCTGGTTCAAACTCCAGGAGTCCAGTTTTTTTCTTTTGAGCTGCAGTGTCACCGTCCTGGTTTGGTGTAGCCTTACCTAAACGGATCAGACTAATAGAACCTGATACTTGGATTTCAGTGCCACTGGATGCTGTTGTGAGTGTATCCTCTCACAGTAGGGTTCAGATGCTTGATTACACAGATAAAAAATCCTCTGGTGGACGGAAATCTAACGTGTAGTCCTTGAGGAATCGTTGAATCAAACATCCTGTTCACATGAAGCACCAGTGGATATCCAGACGCTCTTTCAG